GACAAAGGACTACCTGGGGTTTTATTTCTGCTGTACACCAGGTCTTCTGCTATTTCTGTTCTTTTTAAAGCAGGAATTACTTGAGGTTTAAAGCAGGAATTACTATGTGCAGTTTGGGGTGTGTGGTGCAATTCCATCGTGTTTGGCTGTGGAGTGGGAGGCCAGAGTCTCTAACTGAAAGATGGGGAGGAAACCATCTGGGGAGCCTGGGATACATCCTGATGCTTACTAAAGGAGCTATACACCAATCTATAATCCATCTCCTCTCTGTTCATCTCTGTATACTTGTATGGAAGACTTCTCTGGCTATCCACAGCCCTGAAAGCAGTAATTACACTTGTGGGTTGCTAATTCCCAGGTTATTTTTCTGGGAAATCAGCAGCAAAAAGCAGTAGGCCCACAAGGGGCAGGAGTTAAAGCAGTTAAGACCATGAATATGTGTGGTAGGTAGATTTGTCTGCTGCAGTTCTGGGACTGAGCAAGAAGCTCCTGAGGTTAATGACCTGCAGGTGATAAGGGGATTCTCTAGGGCCAGGAGTAGAAGTTGCTGAGCATGGCCCTGCTGGCCCAGTGCAATCAGCTGTAGTTAAAAAAGAGATACGTTTCCTTGATCTCTGCAAATTGTGACATAATTGCCTCTGGATATTTTAACATGGAAGTGTCAGGTTTTACAGGCTTCGTTATCAGCAGGGCTTTCCCCCATCTGTTTGCTGACACTGGTGAGAGCCACAGATGGTTTATACCTGGGAAAGTCAAGGTCTTAGGTACAAGAACTGGGGTTTTTTTCTGCATAAAATGAAAAATGTTAAGCAAATGTCTTCTCTCTTTCTGGAAGGAAGAGAATGAGCTACTAGGGGTGGTAGTAGCTTTTCATTCTTTCTTTGCTCTTTCTGCCCCTTTCCAACACTGGATTACTCCCTGAGGGACTGGCTGCAAGGCAGCTACAGGTGTGAGGAATATGCCTTGGCTTGTGCAATAACTTCATGGGACTAAGCTATTTTCCAGATGAGCTAGTGATAAAAAGGTAAATATATCTGAGAAGAGGGGAGATGCCCAACTGCTTTCTGGAATTACAGCTACTATGTATGACAAACTTTTTTCTCCTGGGGAAAAATCCATACTTTGTAATGTTGGTATTACTCTAAATACTGCTATCTTGATGAATTCAATAGATGGCACAAATCTCTGTCTTGCTGTGGAGGAAATTTCAAAACTATTTACCTTTAGGTATATTTACCTAAACACTGTAATTTTACAGTTGTTTTGTATAACTTGCTTGTGATTGTTTTGTGAGCTCATTCTATTAGGCTAATTCTCTCTTTCAGAAAGCCATCCACCCTCTATTTCCCATTTTGCAGAGAAAGCTTTGTAGTTTGGAACTGAATGAAACCGGGTGGACTAAATTTCAAATCATCTCTAGCTTCAAATGATGCCAGCAACTGTGAGACAAACAGGGAGTCTGAGAAGAAAATGCACTATGGAGGTTCTGATCCATCAGTCCCTGACAGAGCTAACAGTCTTCTGCTGTGCTAGTACATGAATTCAGAGGTCAGTTTTCAGGGTCAGGATATCTTTAAGAGAATAGAAATACCAGGAGACTCTGAAGTCAAGGCAGAGGTGCATTACCCAGCAGCATTGTCAGGGGCCAGCCACAGATGGCTAAGAAAGATGGCTAAGAACAGAGAAAGAACACAGCCTCTCCTCTTGCCCCAGAGCTTTCCAGTTTCAGCTTTGGGAGCAGCTACCTGCTGGCCCTTTTGATAAGTTTTGTCTTCCACACAGGGCATTCAAAGTCTTGCTATATTTTGTTGCTTCATTTTCAGTGGAGGGATTTGAGGAAGTCCCAGGAGAGGACCACTGGTAGGGAGAAACAGGATCAGAAGATCCTGACCTGTGGATGTTGAAAACACAGCATGACCAGCATCTCTCACTTCAGAAAAGCTGCAGGTTTTTGAGTTGGGTGTTGTGTGGTCTTGCTGATGAGGCAGAAACATCAAATACTACATAGAAGATGCTGCTGCTGCTCTGACTGCCAAAATTGTGGGTTTGGATTTTAAACAACGTAGCCTTGATTTGCAGAGCAGTTACCTTATCCTTATAAGAGTTGATCCAGATGTGTGCCACTGCTTTCTCTTCTTGCTATCTCTTCCAGCCCTTCCTTACCCAAAGACACACACCTTACAGAGAACAGAGACCCTTCTAAGGCAGGGTCTTTTGTAACCTTTACAATGTGCTTTCACTTCAAAACAGAACCCTATTTTGCTGAGTTAAACATGGGAATGGCTCTGTGACATCCTGGTTATCCTTAAAAAATTTGTGGTGACAACTGATGGATACCTGACCTTTCTCTTTTTCAGGTTGTGTTAGCAAATATATAAATCATGTTGGACATTGCCTGATTTTAGGTTGGTGCTTTGCATAGCTCAAGGCTTGTGGCTGGTGTGTGATGTGTAACAACAGGCAGCTGAGGTTGTGACTTGTTCATCGTGTCGCAAAGCAGTTTGTTTCTCTCCATTTAACTCTGCCACATCCTCTTCAGGGCAGTGTACCACCACAGGGTTTTTTTGACTCATCTCTCTCATGAGGGGAGGGGGGTGGAGGCTTTGTCTGTAAGAAAAATCAGCTGCGTGTTAAGGTCTCAGAAGCAGCAACGAAAAGAAACTCATGAACCATACAGCCGAACGCAGGGATGGAGTCTCCTGAACTGAGATAGTTCCCACTTTGCTGTTATATCTGGGCCCTTGGTGGGGACAGAGAAGGAGGGGAGCTCCAGGTACATCCCTGGTGTGCAGGAGCTGCCTTGGAATCGACCCTCAGGACTGGGATCCCGTGGGAGCGCTGCCAGTGCTGAGGTCCCCCTGTTCACCCCAGAAGTAGAATCGGAGCACCAGAGCGCGCTGGAAGTGCTGCTGCTCCCCTCCCAGGCTCGGGGGTGAGGAGGGCTCCTCTTGAGTGAGTGGATCTCCCCCAGCCTCCGCTCTCCTTGGGATGAATCCGGGCGGGAAGAGTGGCACGTGTATCGCGCGGTCTTGTGCCAGCCACCGCCACCGAGGCTGAGTAAAAAATTTAATTTATTTTAATGCAGCTGTTGAGGCATTTTAATTTCATCAAAGGCAATAACACAAGGCGAGCCACCGAGTATTCGTTTGCTACTTTTAAATGGGTTTGATTCATCTCTGCTTGGTTGTTCCTTTATGGATTTTGAGAGTTCCTTCTCGCTCAGAGGCACAACTGTTCAAGGGCTGTGAATTTTAAAAATTGCAGATTAAATTCTGCATTTCACACATGAATATTTAAACAGTCATATACTCTCTTCTTTCTGTAAGGTCCCATTTTTAATCATTAATGCCTGTTCTTTTGAGCAAATAAACCGCATATATGAAATTTGAATGCATTTAAAAAAAAAGATAGTTCTCTGGGACAAGTTCCAATATGACAATATTCTGTTATGAATATTTATGGACCCATCAAAATTGGTGAATACTGAATTTGCTGCAGAAATTGTGGAAGGTTTGTTCTTTCTTTTACTTTCCTTTTGAAAGAGACTGAGAAATTCTTTGCAAATTGGGTCAAGTTCAGTACATAAGTTTGGTCAAAAATGTATATTTTAAATTTTTTTTTGTTGAAAAAAATCAATTTTTAAAGATTCCAACTGTTTTGATTGAAAGCAACTTTTGCATGCATAATGTATCCAAATTGCAAAGAAAAAAAAAATCCCAAAACTTCTGACAGCGCTGAATAAAATAAAACAAAATATTTCCTTTAAGGCAAAAGATTTTATGTGAATGAAAGTGAAATTTGAGATGTTTTTAATGTAAGAGTTACATTGCTTGTTACACATTAGTAGCAGAATATCGATCAATGTGGTTGTTATTGGCATTTTTACCAAGTGGTAATGAAAGGTTTTCATCCAGATGCATCACAACTCTTTGTTAGACGTGTGAGCAAAACAATTCTTTGAGGAAAACAATTCTGTTGAGGGTGGTGAGGCACTGGAACAGAAAAGTTGTGGATGCCCCATCCCTGGAAGTGTTCAGGGTCAGGCTGGATGGGGCTCTGAGCAACCTGGTCTGGTGGAAGTGCCCATGGCAGAGGGCTGGAACTGGGAGATTTTTAAGGTCCCTTCCAACCCAAACCATTCTGTGATTCAGTGACTTGAACATGCACTTGTATCACGCTCTGTTAAGCAGAACACCATCCTTGCATTTGGCTCGTGCCTGTGGCAGCGTTTGTTCTTCCTGTGCCACACGTGTGGCAGTGTTGTGGCTTCTCTTCTCTACACCAGGCATCCTCTCATGGTTTGTTTCACATTTAAAATGAAATCTTTGACTTGGGAATGAAAACATCATCGTGTCAGTATTTCCCATGGGATGGGAGCACAGTTTTCCAATCATCTCTAGCTGTGGGTGCCTGATTCAGAAAGTAAATAATTAAAGAGATAGAATTGGCAGCATTTATAAGACATGGTTTGTTAAAAGGCTTAGATAGTTGTAGAATAGCAGGAGTTGCTAGATGCCTTTTTAGTTCACCCTACCTATGAAAGCAGGAAACAAACTCATGAGGTTTTGATCCCTTGCAACAGGAGGGCTGCTCTTTTTGTCCTGCTCTAAAAGGGCAGTTACTCTTCAAGAAATTAAAAGCATGCAAAGGCTAGGAAGAATTTCTTTCCCAAGCAGTGGATGAAGTCTAGATTCCGAATGGTGCCAGATATCTAGGATTTAAAAAAATTGTTTGTAAACAGTAGCTTGTCTTGTTTTTTATTTTGTATTTTTTTTGTCTTTATTTTTGCAATTTTTTTTTTTTTTAACAACCTGGTTTTTGCTTTACTTTCTTCACCGTAAGAGTGGCACTTGACATGAGGTCTTGTTTATAACTCCTGCTTTCAAAGGAAACAGGGGGTTTGCTACATGTTCTCTTTGAAGGGATGAGAGCAACCATTTGTGACTACATGCCATTTTCTTTGCCTTCATTTTCTGCAGTGCTGATTCCTGCTGCTAAAGATGGCTCAGAAATGGGCAGTTCTGGCTGTGCTCCTTTTCTTGCCAATCAGTCTGGTTGAAGGTAAGTGAGAAAGATCCAAAACTGCATGTAGCACTGTTTGGTACTCTGTATTTCCAACTTGCCAGGACATTGAAACTTCATAGTACACCAGAGCAAATTTTGCCTATTGTTTTGTGGGAATGGAAAGAATGTCACCTTGGCTGGCAAAATAATCCAGTGCCTTGCAGAGTGGCACAGAGTGATAAATCTGACAGGAATCCAAAACTGGTCATCTAAAGACACACCTGTTCAGCTGGGACAATGGCAGGAGAGCTATGATTTCTGGAATGTCTCTTACCAAACTTCTTTTCCAAGTGATGTTGGTTTTACCATGCCACACATGTGTGTTCCACAGCTATCCCGGGTTTTACTGGCACTTGAAGGAAGGCACCTAATTCAGGAACACAATAAATTTTTAAAAGTAGCTTCCTTCCCCTTAAGACTGATTTTTGCCCTCCCCACCAATTTTTCAAAGCCTATATTAAAGTGATAGAAATTTGTTGCCTAAAATAAAGGTGGGGGACTTGCAGCTTGTCAGCATCACTGCCCACAGCAAAAAGGCACCATCTCCACTGCATTTCCAAATTTCAGGAAGATGAGTCTGGAAGTTGAATAATAATATGTACCCCAAGGCTGCCAGTACAGTCAGGAAGTATATTTTTAAGGGTGAGGAAGCCAAGAGTTTCCTGTGCTTTTACAATGGCTGTAGCACCTTTTTAATGTCTTTTTTTTCATCTTATGCAGCTCACAACACGGTGAGTGTAGAGGCTGGCCATGAAGCTGTGCTGGATTGCCCCAACACCTCCAAGGTGCCTTTGGTGCTGGTGAGGTGGAAGGGGAATTGCAGAAGTTGCTGCTGGTTGTCCTATAGAGGGGATCACTATAAGACAAGCAGGCTGAACTGCAGTGAGAGGATCATGTGGAAATATTCACCTGTCAGTGATCCTGCGCTTCGTATTTACCCCGTGAGCCTCGGGGACGAGGGAATTTACACCTGTGAATTTGCCAACAGGGAAGGGAATTTTAATTTTTCCTCTTCTCTGACTGTGATAGGTAAGACTGCATCACTAAAATAAAAATTGAATTAGTCTATTTGCAACATAGGCAGGAAGAAAAGAATATTAGGAAACATAATGAATACATCAAATCACCTTTTGCATATAGTCAGGTAAATTATATCTAGGTTTCCATAAAAAAGGGGAAGATTTTTTGGTTTTTGGCTGTATTAGTTAAGCCATCTCAGTATAACAAAAAAGAAATTAATTTTGCAACTCTGTAATTGCTATTTGTTTTCATTAGTTTGTTTTGGATTTGGGTTTTGGAGTATTTTTTGTTCTTCCCTGCAGAATCGTGCCTTTCTGATAAATGTTTAGGTGTTGTGTGAGCCTTTCCCTGTTTTGCCAAATGCAGAATATGAGTTGTTGGACTTCAAGCAGCATAGTTTTTCCTAATTCCTCTTTTATTTCCCTGCTACCCGATTTTTGATTCTACATATCCAAACTCCCAAATATTGTACCTGAAGCTTCAGCAATCTGCCTTTTCATCAGTCAAGCTCTAAATCTTTATTGAATCCACCCCTCTCTGTCATCCCATATCCTGTTAATCTGTCATCACCTTTTGGCAAACAGGAGGAAGCAATACTTTAGATGCAGCCAGCTAGTTTTTGAGGTGTCCACCTTGGACTTTTTGATGTATTGTTTTTCCTTTAAGATGTGCTAATATTTCAAATTATTTTAAAATCTCATGAATTGGCCATACAATCTAAAAAACCCCACCTGTTTGTCAGTTTCTCAGTTGATGATTTTATACTGAAAATTGAAATAGAAATATCAAATATGAATAGAAATAATGGTTGTGGCCTTTTAAAATTTCTTCTGCAGTCCCTCCTACGGTGACTCTGACCCATGACAAGAGCAGGGTGGCTGTGTGCCAGGCATCTGCAGGAAAGCCAGCTGCTCACATCTCCTGGATCCCTGCAAGCAATCACAGCTCCGAGGAAGAATTCCGTCACCCCAATGGAACAGTGACCAGAGTGAGCTACTTTGGCTGGGCCGACAGCTCATTTCCCTCTGTCACCTGCCTGGTCACCCACGCAGCCATGAACCAGACTCTGGTCATGGACCTGAGATGTAAATAATGTTATTTTGTGGTTGCTTTTCATCATGTCTTGGGCTCCTCTCTGCTGTTCTGTGCAGCTCTTCCCACTAAATGCCAGGGCTCTGGAACTAGGTTAGCGTGGTTATAAGGTGAAGTCTAGTGCATGTTGAGAGATAAATTAATGATTTTGAAACCAAATGCTTTGTGGCACTGTATGGAGAAGCTTTCAGTGTATTTGTCGTTCAATTCCTGTCCTGTTTTACAAGAATTCCTTATTCTGCTTTCAGTGGGTTCACCTTGGCTGGCTGCCAGGTGCTCTCCAAGCTGCTCTATTGCTCCCTCCTCTTCAACAAGACAGGGAGAAAAATACAATGGCCAGCTCGTGGGTCAAGGTGAAGACAGGGAGAGATCATTCACCAATTACTGTCACAGACAGACACTTGAGAGAAAGTTATTTCTTGCCACTCAAATCAGAGGATAGAGAGAAACAAGAAAGAATCTAAAAGCACCTTCACCACAACATTTTGTCCAGCTTTTCCACAGTAGTGATGGTCTGGAGAAAATTTCCTTGGAGCATGCCTGTCTCTGTGACTTGCAAGTGTTCCAAAGGTAGTAAAGGCTAAAATTCAGCTTCTGTTGGAAGTCTATCGCAGTAGGATTTGTAAGAACAGCTTAAGAAGTGCTCATACCACCAAAATATCTCTACTAGTAGAGGCATAAAGAACAGAAATCAGCATAAACCACTCATTAATAACAGCATTTTGCAGGGATGGCTGCTCAGTTGTTCAGGGCTAGAAGTAATTGAAGAAAATGAGAATGTAAAGGCAGATGAGTTGAAAATGAAAATGTGTTTGTGCACACAAATGACTGGGAGTATGGGGCAGCTTCTTATTGCTGATGGGCATCCAGACATCTCATCTGTTTCTCTCTGCTTTGTTTGGAATCAGAGGATTAGCTTTTTCTTCCAGATAAGGTAGGCAGTTATGTCACAAATTCATGGATACTGACATCTAGCTGTGTAACTTGCTCTCTTTTCTCATTGCTCAGATACCTCCCACAGGCTTCTCTACATCCTTTCAGGAGCAGCTGCAGGTGTCCTTGCTGTCACAGTTGTGACTTTATCCTTGATTTTCAGGCGCAGAGGTGAGTCCTTTGAATCTGAAATATATTACAATCCCATTGCTGACTATGTGCAGGTACAAGGACATGCACTTTATTGCTGAGACTGAGGTGGGAGGCAAGGGTTGAGGAAAATGTTCATATATGCACAGTTCTTTTGGAGAAATCGAAATGAAGTAAGGGGTAGCAATTTAAAATAAGTCTGGAGTTTTGAAAGAGCCACAGATATCGTGGTGCTAATGCATTACAGACATGTCAGGGGTTCATTCAGGATGAAAAGGGTTCTTTCTGAGAAGAGGGCAGGCTTTGAGTTTTTAGAATTATTTTGTTTGTTCTGCACTTACTGGCACAAAGTTCTATACTAAAGAATTACAGTTAATAAACTAATGACTAAACACAAACTATCTTTGTTTCCATGAGCAGGGATAAGTTTTCCCTTGAGCAAATGTAAGAATAAGCCAAATGTACATACTCTGATATCTTTCAGATAATTGTGCATTGGGCATATTAGATAGCTGATTTGTTTAAATTCTCATACTAAATGCAAAACACAGCTACTAAGAAGAAAATCAACTCTACCCCAGTAGAAACCAGAGCACCCAGCATGACCAAAAGTTTCAACGAAGGGAAAAATAAAACAAGAGCGTGTTAAAGAGCAGGATGTAAAAAAATAAGAACATATGAGGGTAACTGTATTTTGAAGAAAACCTTTCAAGAGCTGGGGGCAGCTAGAAGAGAATCCCAGCTATAACAGCTGTGTACCCTGCACCTTCAAACCACTCAAACTTCTTGACATTCTCCTTTCAGCTTGCAGGTTACGTAAACGGGCACAGGGCCCAGCAGAACACTTTACAGTAAGTGGCTTTGTGTGTGTGTGCTTTGCAGGTTTTGGTGTATTCTTCACTAAAACTTGTAATTTCTTTGCAATTCTCTACTCTGACATACTCCCATACTGTGAGCACTTGGAGGGGGGATGAGGAACACATCATCTGTGAGAATGTCTGTTGTTTGGGTGGCCCTATCTTCATGTATAATCAGAGTGTTTGAGCAATTGTTTAAGCACTGGATAGAGAGTGGTGTGGTGCATTTCCCACAAGTCACATTTACAATGCTGAATTTTAACTCTCCAAAAACGTAATATTTTCATATTTCTGCTTCACAGAGTAGTTTTTACTCAGATGTTTTATTTAAGAATGTGTATTCTTAATGGCAGAAGCCTGCCTAATTAATGATTGGATGGAACTAAATGTGCCTTTTACAATGAGGGGAAAAAGGTCCACTTTGTTTCGCTGCATTGGAGACAAACACAGCTATGAAACTTTTATTTTTATGTGGCAGTTCATATACTTGTAAGCCAGGAAACATCAGGGATAAATCTGCCACCACAACTTTTACTCACTCTCTAATTCCAGTGTATTGTGATATATATTTAACAAAATGAAAATGTGCTGCTTTTCCCCAGGGCTTTTGCCTCACTTAAAGCACATGGAAAGACCAATTATTTCCTATTTTGTTTTCTGCTCATGATTTAATTAATGGTTGTGTGCCTTGTTTGTTGCAAACCAGTCAGAGTGCTCTGAAGTTGGAATCATTAATTTCCTGATGTGCTCTTGTGTGGCATTCAGGACAATTTCATTGATGAGAGGGGAAGTTGCAGAGATCAAAGGTTTCCAGTGATTTTAGGTGCCTAAATTGGATTGTTTGTGGTCTGTCTGTTTTGTTTTCAGAGAAGCTAGCATTTTTCATCTATTTTGCTGTAGATACCAACATTTCAAAATTGGTTTTTGAAAAGACAATATTAAGAAAAAAGCAATATTAAGAAAAAAAAATTTCAGAGGCTGTCCTGTTGAGGCTTTGTGAAGGCTGTTCTTGCATTTGTCTGCCAGTTCATGTTTCACCCTCTGTGCTGTACCCTTTTGCTCAGAGAAATCACTTCACGTTTCTTTTGCAACAGTGATGTTACCCACCAGGTCTCTTCTGCTCTTTGCTTTTAGTTTGGGATCTATAGGAATGACAATCCCATGACATTCCACAATGTAATACGGTGGTACATGTTTTTCTTCCTGTTGCAGACTACAGCCTGGAAGTTCCCACCTTCACGTGCAACAAGAGCAGCAGTCAAACCTCCTGACTTTCCAGAGAGCATCTATATGAATTACGGCCCAAGATCTATTTATGTATGCTTATAAGAGTGCAGGCACAAGTAGCCAGCTCAGCTACTAATGATGCTCAGCTACTCAAACTTGTACTTCAACTCTTAAGCCTCAGACCTTACCCCCAAAAATCTTTGTCTTTCCTCACCTCATGAGGGTGGAGTAGAAAGGCCTGTTTTAGTAAGTTTTTTTTTCTCTTTCTCTAAATATCAGTACAGCTCTAGAGAAAGTTGGAAATTTTAAAAATTGAATTAGGGAAATCTTAATTCTGTTAGAAAATTGACTGTGATGTATGTGCTGCCTTTCCTCAAAACAATAATGGACATATTTCTGTGCCAGAGTAAAAGACTGCTGGTGAAAATGTAGCACTTTTCTTTCCATTCTGACAAGTGGATTCTCTTTAAAGTTCTGTGTTGGAAACTAGAAAGTGATATGGGAGACCTCAAAACACAGAAGGTCAAATCAATGCATCTAACAGAAATGCAGAAATAAGAGAGTTTTAGGGTTTTTTGGTTGTTTTGTTTTGTTTTCTGGTTGCAATGACAGATGATGATCTCGATTTGACATCTTTGTAGTTTTAATATATTTCTTTTTCAATTGATCTTTCTGTTTGCATTGATAATTACTGGAAAATAAAGCCAATTTGATATTATACTGGATATGGAAATAAGAAACAGCAATGGAGAATTTTGGACACTCTTTAATGTAAATATGCAAATATTTACCTGAAGAATTTTTGTGGTTATTTGGGTAAATGTTTTTTGACCAGTTTCTGAGAAGCTGAGATCACATCATGGTTTTACTGAGAACAGAAGTGTCAAGTTGTATAAAGTGCAAGTGGTGTGCTTGTTTAAAACAAAGGAAGAAAAGACAACCCTAACCGCACCATTTATTTCTTTTCATCTTCATGTCCCCAAGATAAAAAAAACCTCCACTAGTTGTTAATTTCAGTTTTCATTGGTCAGGTCTGTCAGAGCTTCCAAACACTAATGCAGCAGTAACTAAACTGAAATGTGTGTTTTGAAGAGTCTTTTCCTGCTTGTTTCTGCAGGGTCATCTCTGCTCCATAGGCCTTCTTAGGCATGAGCATCTCCCAGTGCCTTTTAACAGCACTTTATGACTCCTAAATAGACATGGATGTCTGCTGACATCACTCCAGCCTTTCATTTTAGTCAGAAAGGCATGAAGGATGACTCTCTGCCTTAAGGAAAAGGGGCTACAGAGGCCAGGCTTGGTGGACAAGTGAATCCTTCCCTGTGGTGTTGAATGTCAGTGACGGGTTGCTCTCACTCTGGTGTGCAGCATCATCGTGCCTTCTCTAGGAAGGGAGAGGCCCTTTTCATATGTAAAACCTCTGGGAGAAATAAGTGACAGCTTGGTAGTAGTGCAAATAGGTTTGAAATGATGCTAGGTAGGAAAAGTGTTTAGCAGCTCCAGTGAAATCCGCATCAGTGCCTCAGTCCAAGGTGCTGTTAAGGGGTCATTTGTGACTTGGAGCTTCTTGAAATAGAGGGAAGATCTCTTGTTGCTTAAGGAACTGCCCAGTCAAGTCTAAACCTGGGTTCCTGGGCTGGTGTTTCTCAGTGTGGTGAGTGAGCATGGATTGTTTTTATGGACAGCTACAGCAATCTGTGCCTTTTTCAAAGCTGGATCATTGCAGCCACACCCAAGGATGACAGGGCTGTTAAAATTAAGAGAGTTAGCTGCGGAGCAGCCTGCTTCTGAGAATCACAGTGCATGTGTGCTGTGATCATTAGGGTGTAATGCAAGACCTTTTCTTAATTCCTTTGCCTCAAGTGAGATGTTGAAGGGTGAGATGGAATGGAGACAGAAACATAGAACCTAGACAGGGAGATGATGGTGTATGGGGAGAAAGCTCTCTGAAGCTATCTGTGATAATTTGTCCTGGCTGAAAGCTATGGTTTTCAAACTCAATCTTTATTTTCACCTTCAATTTGTATTTGGTGGAATTGGCCCAATCACCTGCAATGTGTCAGCACTTTTGTTAATGTAGAAATTCTGAGCAGACTTAGTGCTGAAACGAGGTGCTCTGGCAATGACATGGGCTATCCTGGAATAAAATTGGCCCTTATGCTTTTTAGGCTTGTTGTGTATGATTAATAAAAGTTATCAGGCCAAAGAGAATAATGTGGCTATAGGGGTAGTTGTAAGAAAGGCTGGGACATCAATAAAGCTTTTATAGGTACTTTCACTGTTGGTTATGACTGGTGAAGGGCAGGGTGTTGTCATATGTGGAGCTCCTGGCGTGGGCTTTGGTGGCTTCCTCTCTGCCTGCCATGACCAGAGCCATGTGTGCCATGCTTCTTGGGCTGATGAGCTGATCTGTTGAGTATTTGAGAATGAGAAATAAATCACTTAAATATTTTCTCTCATGCTTCATGCTGCTTTTGTATGGCATAGGCAGCTTGGTGTAACCCAAAGAACAACTCAAAATGTGTGTTTGGTGTCTTAAACAATTTGGTCTCAAAAATAAGCAACTCGAAATTTTTTTGTATTTATCATGATTTTTCCCCCCCCATTAATTATGAGTACATTCTTGGTGACCCTATACTCTTTTTATTTGCACCAAAAAAAAATTTAATCAAGGCAGGTATTTTAGACTGCCAAAATGTGTTGGAAAATGCTGACTATTTGTTGAATAATCATTGTGAGAGAGCTACTAAAAAGTGATGGGAATTGGAGTGAACTATTTGCACATTGTCACAAGCAAAAATTTTTTTAAAAAGCCTGGGAGCGTGACACTGCTCCTATTTAGTCAAATGCCCAGTTGACTGAATGTCACTTGAGCTTTTTAGCACCAGATGTGATTATAGATGAAAATGCTCCTGTTTATTGTGTGGATTTTCACTCACATTGTTCATAGGACACTCTTTGTAATAATGATGATGCCTGCTTTCTGATTAATCTATGAACAATTTGTCTTCTGGAAACAGCAGGTGTTGTGATGCCTCTTTCTCTTCACCGAATATGGAAAACAAATGGTGACAAAGCATTACATTTAGAGCCTCATAAATTTGAATGTGAGTTCAGATTATGAACAAAATTTGTTTAAAATCACAAATTTCAACACCAGGATTGAAATGAAGAAGGTAAACAATTTTCCTACAGACTTTGGAAATGGAGCAGATGTCCAAGGGGTATTTGCCAGTTCAGTGAGGAGCTTGATTTTCCTAAGTTTGAAGTTGCAGCTATAAGTTTTGTCTAACCTTCCTGGCATAAATTTGTCACAACTTTTCCTCTCTGATGAGAAAATAATGCCTTCATTGGTTCTCCTCTAGTAACTGTAATGCCAGTGATGTCTTTGTGACCTGCTCTTTCTGACTTTGTGAAGTCTTTGCTGTTAATGATAACTTGCCAGCTCCTTGATTTTGTGTCCATAGTCTGTATACACCTGTCATGTGCTGGAGGCAGTGAAGAGCTCAGGAATTAACCAAGTGGGACTTTTTCTACATTTTCTATCACTTCTCTGTCCTGCCATAGTTAGTACTTGGGCTCTTCATAATGCTTCTTTAAGTAAGTATCTACTTTTCTCTTTTTTCTCCCCAATCTTTTCATGCACTAGTTTTCTCAGTTTATTGATTTTTATGTTTGCTAAGTATTTTATTATCTAGTTTTATTCCTTTCTCTTTTTGGCATCAAATAAAATTTTATTCTTCATTCTTTTGTTGCCTTTTTTATGTGTGCAACAAGAGGTTTCAAATAGTGACTTGTTTTGGAATTTTTTAGTGCTTTTCACTAACATCTCCATAGAGACATACTTACTCCAGGTCTCCTTCATTTTTTTTCCCCCAATGCATAATAGGAAATTAATCACTCTTGATGATAAACATCTTCTGTTCTTAGACTTCTGTGAATCTAAGCTCACTTACCAAATCTAAATGCATAACATGTAGCATTTTATTTGTTCTTGGCTGACATCTGTCTAACAGAATCATATAATTGTTAAGGTTGGAAATAACTTCTGAGAACATCAAGTCCAACCATTAACCCAGCACCATCGTGGCCACAGCTGAACTGTGCTCCTCTGTGACACATTTACATGTTTTTGAACACATCCAGGGATGGTGATTTCACCACTTCCTTGGGCAGCCTGTTACAATGCCTGACCAGCTTCTCAGTGAAGAAACTTTTCTGAATATTTAATACACTCTGCACCACCCATGAGGAAGAGCAGTGAGAAAAATGTGAGTGGAACAGCCCTGCAGACACCAAGGTCAGTGGAGAAGGAGGGCAGGAGGCGCTCCTGGTACGAAAGCTGGTATTCCCCTGCAGCCCATGGTGAGACCACGGTGAGACAGCTGTGCTCCTGCAGCCCATGGGAGGAGCAGATTTCCACCTGCAGCTCATGGGGATTCCATCCTGGAGTACACTTCTGGCAGGAGCTGTGACCCTGGAGAGGGATCTGTGCAGGAATGGTTTTCTGGCAGAAATAACACTGGAGCAGTCTGTTTCTGAAGGACTGCATGCCATGGAAAGACCCACACTGGAGCAGCCTGTGAAGGACTCTATCCCATGGTAAGGAACTTCTGGAACAGAGGAACTGAGTGAAGAAGGAGTGGTGGAGGTGAAGAGCTACGAAACGACCCCCAAACCCCATTCCCCACCCCATTGCACTTCTGGGGTTGGGGAATATGAGGTAAATCTGTGAAGAAGAGGGAGTGAGAGCAAAGGTGCTTTCAATTTTGTTTGTTTGTCATTATTCTACTCTGTTATTAATTGCTAATAAAAGAAATTAACTTCCCCGAGTCAAGTCTGCTTTGCCCATGACACTAACCAGTGATCTCCCTGTTCTTATCTTGACCCATGAACTTTTCCATCATATTTTCTCCCGCTGTTGTGCTGAGGAGGGGGAGTGAGAGAGTGTCTGGCTGGGCATTGTCAGGTGGCAGCCAGCCAAGGTCAATGCACCAGGCAAGCCTTAGTCACCAGCAGAGCTATAATAGGAAAGAGGATGCTGTAAACATCACATTCTACATTATTAAGGCATTTTTATGCCCATGGTCCCTCTCTAGGTC